CAACCCTTTTACTCCCATCACTTAATACTTGAGTTTCCAGCCATTTGGGTTCAAACTTTTGAAGGCAAGTTTTTTAATTTTAACTTACTAGTTTGATCTTTAAATTTCTAATTAACTGTTTGTTTAAAACTTTATTTTTAAGATTGTATCATTTTTGATGTTCTTATGATTTAGAATCAGCTTTTAATGTTAATATGTTTACTTCTGTTTTTAAAGTGGAAAATGAGAGTGTAGGGGATATGTCTTCTAAAGGAAGCATCTCGTTCCGATTAATTGAGTTCTTATTGAGAAACTTTAATTTTAAGATTATTTGCTATTTTGTTTTACAAAATTATTTTGGCTTAAAGGGACTAATGTCTTTATTTGGATTGAGTATTTATGTGACTTAATGGTTTGAATCTTGCAAATAATTTGGTGCTTACTTGGAAGTAAGATGAAACACTTGTTTAATTTAGTTATTGTTAATTGATGGTAGATTGATTGGTTTATCACCTTGATAAATCGATTAATCTGCGATCAATGACAATAGCTAGTTTCGCAATATTTAAAATCTACATTTGGTTTTTAAATTTTTCTTAGCAGATTTTTAAGCAAATAGTTAAAATTTTTAAAATACTAATTTAAATTCTAAAAAAAACATTTTTTTCAATGGTTTTAAATTTGTGTTCCTTGGAGATGGTATATGGAAAATTTTCTTATCATAAATTATTATGAATTATTGGTTTATATATATATATATATATTTATAATACAATTAGTGCGGCCGATTGCAACCGAAAAGAGAGATGTACATTGGTGTGCAAAAAATTAAGGACGAAGTCGAAAAATTAGCATATCAGCTGAACGAAGAGGGCAGAGCAGACAGAAAGACCAATCAGGAGATTAAGTAAGGTGATGTACGGTAGCACATGCGCAGATATGCAGGTACGTAATGGGGAGTGTCTTAGTAGTATAAAGCATGTTGTCGGTGTAAGATCAGTATTTCTGGCAAAGAGATTGCACGCCGTATAGCAGTTAAAATCACACCGAGTTGCTGCCTCAGCGAGAAATGGCGAATAATCAATCTGTTAGACGACATCTGGATGCTTTTACCCGAGGTCGAATCATTGGGAAGTTGGACGAAGGCCGCAGTGTGACAAGTGTGGCTGCAGAGTTCGGAATTGCTCACAGCATCGTTTCACGACTTTGGAGACAATTTCAAACTACAGGAACAGCTATCCGGGGGTTTAGTAGTGGTCGTCTACGAGGAACCACACCCGTAGATGACCGGTATATTGCCTTACAGGCCAGAAGAAACAGGCGGCAGACAGCGGGAGAAATCGCTAGACACACGACACAGGCGAATGGACGACCGATATCGCGTTTTACCGAAGCCAGAAGACTGCACGGTGGTGGTCTGTTTGCACGACGCCCTGTACGGTGTATACCTCTAACGACTGCCCATCGGAGAAGGCGTTCTCTGTGGTGCCGGGAACACCGGAATTGGAGTGACAATGAATGAGGACGAGTACTCTTTACAGATGAGAGCAGATTCAGTCTGAGTAGCGATTCTCATCGCATACTCATCTGGAGAGAGCGGGGAAGCCGCAATCATCCCTCGAACATCATTGAAAGGGACAGGTATGGAGGTGGCGGTGTTTTCGTTTGGGGAGGCATCATGCTTGGTAATCGTACAGACCTTCACATCTTCGACGCAGGTTCAGTCAACGGAACCCGTTATTGTAACGAGATTCTTCTTCCATGTGTGCGTCTTTTTAGAGGCGCTATGGGTCCGCAGTTCCTTTACATGGACGACAATGCACCATGTCATCGCACAGTAGCTGCCGAACAGCTCTTAGAGAGTGAGGATATTGAACGTATGGTTTGGCCGGCACGATCTTCGGATCTCAATCCCATCGAGCATGTATGGGCTTTTCTAGGCAGACGCTTGGCAGCTCGTACCTTACCACCAGTAACGATTCCGGAGCTTCGATTGGCGCTGCAAGACGAACGGGCAGCAATGCCTCAACTACTCATTGACACCCTCATTCTCAGCATGGGCAGGCGCTGTGAAACCTGCCTAGCAGTCATGGGAGATCATATCCCCTATTAAAGACCGGATGTTTCTTGCTGGACACCCATCACATGGATGTTTCGGCCTTCAGTCGCATTGCGCTGCATGCTACTTTTTCAATAAAGCTTCTTTTTATCCCTCTGATTTCTCTTTTAGTAAGTGTTGTTTACATTACTCATGTCCTTACGCATTGAGGATCTTACGGTATTAAATGTGTTGATTTGGAAAGCTTTTGTACAAAGTTATATTGAAAAAACCGTCTCGTCCTTAATTTTTGCACACCAGTGTACAGTCATATGTTATAACAGTCCCATATACAGAATTTCAATGTTCTGAGGCTACTCGTTTTTGAGTTATGCAAGATGAATAGATAAATATATACGTATATATGTACAGACATGACGAAAAATTTCTCTTCTGTATCCATTTTAAATCCATTTTACAATCACTTTTGGAAAAAAGAGTCCTTTATTTTGTCCGTACGTGTGTGACAAAAAAATATCGTCCAAATGGATTCGAGAGTTGTCAAAATGAACATTTTCGTTGAAGCATGATACCCGAAATTTTTACGATTACAAGTACTTTCTTTGCTTTGTACAAGGAAATAAAAATTGACATTTGTGCCCAGAATTAAATGCTGCACTGTACTTTATTAAGCAATAAAACTACAATTTATCTTAAACTCCACTTAACCTCATACCTGTGTATTATACCTGAAAATGTTGTAAACAAATAATCATTAGTAGGATATATAATGCCATTAAGTAAGGCATCAAATCTACTCCTTTTATTTTTATTTTTTATTTTTTAATAAGGATGATATATAGTTGACCTGATATGCGTCTATTAAACTATTGATTGTAAGTGTAATATCAAATTTAAGAGTATTTCTCAAGAGAATAAAAATGATATCTGACCAATAGTGGTTTCTTTTTGTTTTTTCTGTGTGGGAATGTAGAATGTTCTGGACGTTCAAAGGAAATTTTTGTGACCCTACATAAGGAGCTCTGAAATCTCGATCCATCACAGATTGTCAGAGTCTGACATTCGTTAAGTGGTGTGATATATTATAAGTAATATTGAACCACATTCTATATGATTTTTTTTCCCTGTCTTTTTCGGTCAGATTTTACCAATGGTATTTCTGCAGTTCGAGTTCTGGGACATAGTAAAATTATTAGTTTGAAAGTATATATATATATATATATATATATATATATATATATATATATATATATAAAAACTCAAATAAAATGTTTGAGAAGGATTTTGTTTCGTGTCTAGGGCACCATTCTTTTTCAAGTCATTTTTGTTGTTTTACGATGGTCCATGAAATGAAATTTAATTTAATAGTTAAACTCTTATAATGATATACAGATTTATTTATTCATTTTTTGAATTAAAATATTTTATAAAAATTCCTCCACCCGATTCATTGCATATATTTTTATTAATAGGAAATTTTTCATTTTCTGTAAAGAATGAAACTTTAATGTTTTTTAAGATATTACGGTTAAAGGCCGAGACGAAGTTCAGAGTTGATCGTTGTATCAGTATTTTATTATTAATTACATAAAGTTCAAAAGATTTTAAAAGTTACTTTACATTTTTAAGAAGAAAACATAAATGCAGCTATGCGACATAAATGCGACACTTTTTTATCACTGAGAGTTTTTTCGCGACCCCAGGACCCCATAATATTTACGAAAATTTTGTGGGACCCCATAAGCCTTGCGCAAATCCGACACACGTGTGAGTGAAACTGTCAATTTTCACTTGTACTGTAATATACTATTGCGGTTTTAGGTCAATAATTTTAATTTCTACTTTTAAGGCATAGAACAATGTGAAATGTTTTTAAAAATAACAGACGAAATGACAACGACCCCCTGCTGCAGATCCTGCGACCCCGTTTAAGAGACTCTGCACTAAATTCAGGCAGATAAAAAGAAATTCTTAGCGTTCTACTTCATTATCAGGAGTTATAAACAAAATCACACTATTCGTGTAGTAAAAGTACTTTTTAATTTTTTTTTCAATGAGGGATTAAATTGAGATATTCAAAAATATTACACTTTACTAGTTAAATGGCATATTCCTCCGTCCCTAAATAGCAAAATCAAGTAAAAGTTTGGAAAATGCATATACAAAGATATGACATGGAACTATATACATTTAAAAAAAACTTTATTTAGCATTAACTCCTAGGCTTCTTGAATGAGCTAGTAGCTCACAATATTGAAATAGTTTTCCAATAAAATCTCGTTGCTTAATTACTTTTGCTTTGAAGTCTTTCATTTTTCATTTAATTCTCTATCTTTTAACTGGGATATCCGTAGTTTATTGCTGCAATTTAGTATCCGCATGGCATCGATTTTCTGCTTGGTCCCGCTTTAGAAGTTGAATCAATGCATTTACGTTTAAAAGGCCACAGGTAGACTTTTTTTACTTAACTTGTAATGCCATCCTTCAGTGTGATTGTTCTTTCTGACTCCATCATTTTAGAAGTCGTTCTAGATATTATTGCAAAAAAATAAAAGTAGTTAAAACTACAAATAAAATTATGTTTCATTTATAATGATTTGTCATTATAAACTTGTGCTATTTTTTTAATGTAAATAATTTTAATTAACGGCATATATTACATGCCATGATACAGAATAATCGTTTTCGTATTGCCTAACAGTTCTTGATAGTACAGTCCTTCTTAAATACACTATATATAGAGAGAGACATAGAGAAATATAAAAAATATAATTTTCTTACGTTCACTAAATTATTTTTAATGATAACTGATTGAAAATTAGGTGATATATGCATTTCTCCCCATGCGGCGCGTGAGGCTAAAATTAGGCAGACAGTGAGGGAACTGAGGAAAAAACAGTCCTGTGCAGGTGATAAACGGGGAGTAAATTTGGACGAAACGTCATTTGAGGGATGAGACAAACATATATACCCTTCCTTCAGTCACCTGCCTTCTTTACATTTCAAATTCCAACCCTGCTATTGCTTTAGGGAATCCAAATTATGAAATTCACCTTTCAGGGTCCTCAAAGGACAGTAGTGACAGTTAAGTATCCAGTTTTATACCAGTTTTGCGCTCAAAGATATATAACGTGTTGTTTTTAACTCATTAAAACATAATGAGTATTTTATTATCTATAATTTTTATTTTCGAGAACCATCATATAAAAAGCTATACTTAAATATTCCAGACCCTCCTTCATTCGTAGTATTAAAAAATTTTCAATATATTCTCTACTTTCTAGAAATAATTTTTGGTAGTTAATAGTAAAACATGATAATGTAATAATTAGCAGAAATAATTAAAAAATTATAGATGACTACATTTTCATTGTAGTAGCTCAATAATATCAAAGTAATCTAATAATATCAAAGCACCATTGTTATTGTGGTACCACGTCAGCCTTGTCATTTGTGCTAATTATTGCGTTGAATTTCTTTACTTCTTGCTCTTCTGTACCTAATTTTAAGAAATTTGTTTTCTGGGTACATGTCTAGGATTACTATTTAAAGGAATACAGCCTGTACCTAACATTTTTGAACGCACTGCGTATCACATACCAACTTTGTCGTATGCAAGCAGCATCTTATTTTACTGTTAATCATTTATAATGTTTTATTAGATATTTATTTGAAATGATAATGAAATAGATAAGTTTCTTTAAAAGAATTTCCAGATTAATCAATTTTACATTTTTTTATGATGAATTAAATTAAACTTTCTGGAACATTTCTTAGCAAAACATCAGAAGGAAATCACTTTCATACCGAAAATACCTGCTGGCATCCATCCAGATATTGGCTACCACTTGTGTAAAGTAACTTGAAAAAGTTATAAATAACATCAGATACACATCTCGAGAAAACGAGTGCTGGTGACACTCTCATGACACATTCGAACTTCTAAGATATTTACAGGATTTTTAAGTGATTTAACAGACGAATTTAATAGACAAAACTAAAATTCAAAAAGCTGTAGAAAAACTTTAAAAACAAAGTGTTTCTTTAATTGTAATGTAAATAAGAGTTCTGCATTTAATCCCGTTAAAAAGCCAAGTTTTTGTACATTTGATTCATTTACAAAATGCCCAAAAGAGAAGAAAATTAGAAGTAAAACTAAAGCTCGCCTATATCTTTAAAATCTTTAGATAAAAATTAAAATGTAATTAATGCACCTGCAGAAGATTTATTTTACTTATAACGTCTATACGACGATATACTGCCTATTCATTGCATGAAATGTTGTGAACTGGGCAAACGAGAGCGCTTAACTGCGCAATAATTCGATAATTTTGAAACGCCTGTGTGGCAACACTAGTCGAATTATTTGGTTTTGATTAGAGAAGAAACATACTCGTTTGAAAATGGCTGAGATTGATCCACCTAAACTGTTATACCGTATTTCTGTAAGTATTGTATACATATATATTATCGCAGCCACCAATAGCAGTCACCAGACTGAATAATGCGTCGAATTTTGACAACATACGCATAACAGTGCTTCTGTTTTAACAAGCAACGTCTCCATTTTCATATGCATTCTTTTTGTTGTATTCTAACGGTTTTTGTAAACAAATATTATTTGGCTTAAACTCAATTTTAAAATATGCGCTTAATATGATATGTCTGCATAGGGAGAAACTAAGGTAAAATATGGGCAGGAATGCAGCATCTATTTTGCAGTAAAATTGCTAAGGGCAACAATTGCTTTGAATATACTTGTAAAGTAATCACCACGAATTTCCAATAAAAATAAAAATAATGCTCTTGTGAGTAGATTTATTGATTATTTTTGGGGTAAATATTTAATTAAAGCCTAAAATACATATCTAATCATATGTATGCATGTAATAAATAGTCGTTTTGTAACTGTAACTCATAATTTGTTTTCTTTTTCTACTAAAAAATCGTGAAACTCGGCTAAGGTGATTGATTTTAATAGATAAATACAGGAACTTGAAAAAAGATGCCATTTTCTGCATCATTCTGAATTTTTTAATTATATTATTTTAATACAAAATACCTATAAAAATAGTGGCTTATTCTAAAACAGTATAATTATATTTTGCAAAATTAACTGATAAATTTTAACAGTTTTTATGCAAAAAATATTCCTCTTGCAGTTTTATCGTTCCGAAAACTTGTAAAAACGTTAGATTACTGCGAAGCAGGAAAAGTGCAAAATAAGCAATGCGCTCGCCGGGATTCGAACCACGGACCTTTCGAATACGCGCCGACCGTGCTGACAATTACACTACGAAGGCATGCTAAGAAGGCGGGAGAAATACCTTATATACACCCCCTTTTAAAGGTCAACTGGGGATTAGGGTACCCAACTGCCAACTCCTGGTGGCGAAGAATCACCATCCATCCCTTTTTTTTAGTTCGGGCGCCATTGTAGAGGAGCAATGCCTTCGCCGGGACTTGAACCTCAGACCTCTCGAATACGCACCGAGTGTGCTGACTACTACACCACGAAGCCATGAAGGCGAGAGAAATACCTTATAAACTTTTATTAACCTTTCAAAGATTCCTAGAACAAGAAAATATAGGTGTGCACATTGCTAATTGCCTGTGGGAAAATTTAAACTTAAAATTATTTAGATTATTATGTTAATGCTTCAAATTTCTTTTTATCGTTTAAAAATTACTCGTTTTGTCATCCCTCTTATCAACTTAAATTGGAGATTCTCGAGGATAAATTTAGGAAAGAAACACAGACTATTCGTTTTGGTAATTAATGTTTTTCCCTCAGTAAAATAATACTCACTATTATAGCTGAGGTTTATTCTTTTATTTTGGATGATAATGTTTATTAAGAATACTTCTGTAATTTTTGCTAGTTAAAATAAAGTGGGTATTTTTTGTTTTTAATTTAATGAATCATATTGACCATTTAATAATCATAGTTTTTATCGGAAGCAAGATAAAAAGTTAGATTTTCTTTTACAGTAATATCCGCAATGTTATTCATAAAATTCTTCAAAGTAAGTAATTGGAAGCTCATAGTTATCTTTTTCAGATGCGTTCCGCATGACTAAATATTGAGAAGCGTTTTATGAAACATATTGATAGCATCCAAATAATCGGTGACTTAATCCAAACAAAATGAAATAGCAACCTAAACGTTCCTTGTGACCATCATATATAACTTCTTATATTTTCTTTTTCTCCTGCTAAAAGAAAAGTTCCAAGTAACAGGGTGTGGCTTCTTCGAGTAGTGGATGATTCGAAATCACAAGGGACTCATGTTCACAGCGTGCAGCATCTCGTATTACAGAATGGAGGTTTATGTTTATCCTTAGGTCATTAAGGAGAATGAGGTGAAGAAGGAAAAAAGTATATGATTATACTGAAACATTTCAATAGAGTATTTAAAGTGTTAAGTTCACTCACCTATTTATTTAAAGTTATTATTTCTTGTAGTGGGTGGCCACTTGGGAATGCTTTCAATAATGGGAGCCGGCGAAACGAAAACAGTTTGTATTCATTGGTTTTCCCACGAGGCGGAAGAACTTCTCAACTTCCGCCTTGCCTTTGGGAAAAAGGAGAGCGAAGTTGGTATGACAATGTTGCCATTGTAAGGAATTCCTACAGAAAGTACTTTCTCAGCTATTTCGTATATTATGGAGTTAAATTACGTGATTTCTTGCTATTTTAAAAGTAGCTCTCCTTTGAAATTTTTTGAATAACTTAAGCCAACTAAAACTTCTTTCAAAAATGAAAGGTCAATGTTATATTTAAGTGCTAATCTAATAAAAATCGTATTTCAAATTTTTAGCTAAAAATATCTGCGTAGAAGTTGTGGTTCTATCAAATATGTTGAAGATGCAAAAATAATTTAAGGACTTTTTCATTTTCTATGAAAGCTACAATATTATTATTCGCGACTGTTGGCAAACATTTTGAAATCTTTTCTAAGATACCGTATAAATCAAATCAAGTTGCCAGCAAATTTAATGTTTTCAACTTTCTGTCAAAGATCTACATTAATTATAAGATAATACTCATTCAATTTTGCGAAATTTTGTGCAATATTTTAAAGATACTTTCCTAGTTCACCAGTGAAATACTGTATTTTTGCCACAGAATTTCATTCTGACACAATCCTTACCATGAAGACTGATATTAGACAATACAGTGGTGTTCAAAATTTATGGTGGTTCTATCCGAAAGAAAAATTTCGCGACCTCAGTCAGAAGGTCAGTCCTTAATTACATATCACGCATTCAGATTTTTTAGGATTCTTATCTCCCTTGCAGGAGCCGCAACCCATCATTGAATACCACTGCACTACACCATTCAAAATTTTTAAATTGTCTGAAAGCAGATACATTATTTTTGTTTCCAAATACAGCTTCATTCAATCAAGCTGTAAACAGAACTTATAAAGAGGTTTAAGACGGACTACATTATGTAGTCGTTTTAACTTATCTTTAAAAAAATGCTTCATAAATTTATTAAAGTTGTTAATGTATGCAAATCTTCTTCATATTGCTTTATTTGAACGCTAAACTTCCCCAAAAAATTTAATTCCTAGATGAAAACATGCATTTAGTCACTGAAGAATGCAGTATCGTAATAATAAAGGAAAGCGGTAAGCTTTTGTGCATTCTCTTTGGTGTAGAAGGGAGACTTCATTTCTTTTTAGCTTCGAAAAATTCCAGAAGTTTTCATATTACGGCATTTAAGCTAAAGCTGAATATTGCCAATAAGCTGCATGACCGATCTCCGTAAGATAAGCTGCCGTTAAGTCTGAGCGTATAAAAACAGTTGCCTATTAAATGCCTATTACACACAGAAAGAAGATAACTACTGAAATTCCGTTTAAGGAGATTTATAATTTAGAAAGATTCATTTTCAGTTTTTTTTTATATAAAGGAATATAAATTACAAAATTCTATAAAATAAATGATAATCAGAAATAAAAATAAAATGTTTCTTAGTTTGTAGGGTTTATATTTATTTTAACTAACATTTATTTTAAGTTTAAACTATCTTTTCTGTCAAGCCTTACTTTCCCCTGGAACTGCCAATGCCAGAGT